TCAGTTCTCCTTCTTTATGTGGGATAGATTCTGGGGACTCTCACTCAGGTTCCCAGGTTTACTCAGCAAGTGCCTTTATGTGCTCAGGTCTCTTGCTAGCCCCTGAGTTATTTATATATACTAGATACAAATCCCTTCTAACTATAATCCCACTACCTGGAGGCTGAGGTGGGACCAGCCTGGGCTATGTGGTAAGATCCTGTCTCAAAATACCTAACCCACCTAAAACAAAATAAAATAAAATCTTTTGTGTGGTATGAGTTACACAAATAGTGTATCCTAGTTTGAAAGTTATCTTTTCATCTTTTTAGCAGAGTCTTTATGAGAACAGGAATTTTCTATTAGTCTTTTGGTTGTGACACTAACATTTAATGACTGAGCCATCTCTCCACCTCAGTACTTTACTGTTGTAATGAAGTCCAGTTTAACACCCCCTGCCATATACACATTAAGGATATTTTGAGTTTCATTTCTAAGAACTTGTCACCTTGTGCTAGTTCTGAAAAATGTATTACCATTTTCTCTTTCTCTGCTTTCTCCCTCTCAGAAGAGCTTGTCTGTTTCCCCTTCCCACGGGTATCCATATAAGTCTGTCTTTCTTAGGGTCCGCCTTGTTTCCTAGCCTCTCTGGGGTTGTGGACTGTAGGCTGGTTATCCTTTATTTTGTGTCTCATATCTGCTTATGAATGAGTACATACTGTGTTTGTCTTTTTATGTCTAGGTTACCTCACTCAGGATGGTATTTTCTAGTTCCATTCATTTGCCTGTAATTTTCAAGATGTCATTTTTTTAACCATTGAGTAGTACTCCATTATGTAAATGTACTACATTTTCTTTATCCATTCTTTGGTTAAGGAGCATCTAGATTGTTTCCAAGTTCCGGCTATTACAAATAATGCTGCTATGAACATAGTTGAGTAAATGTTCTTGTGGTCTAAGTGAGCATCCTTTGAGTATATGCCCAAGAATGGTATTGCTGGGCATTGAGGTAGATTGATTCCCAATTTTCTGAGAAACCATCATAACATACTGATTTCCAGAGGACCACAGCAATTCTTACAAAGGAAAACATTTAGTTGAGGCTTGTAGTTTCAGAGGTTTAGTCCCTTAATGTCATGATGGGAAATGTGGCAGCATGCAGGCAGACATAGTGCTGGGAAGGTAGCTGAGTTCTGCATCTTGATCCACAAGCAACAGGATGTGAAGCCCACCCCACAGTGACACACTTCCAACAAGGCCACAACTAATAGTGCCCCTTTCTGAAGGTCAAGCTAGTCTCTGTGGGGCCATACCTATCCAAACCACTACATTCCACTTCCTGGTCCCCATAGGCTTATAACCATAACATAATACTAAATACATTTAGTTCAACTTCAAAACTTTCCAGTCTTACAGTCTCAATAGTGTTTAAAAGTTCAAAGTTTCTTCTGAGATTCATGCAATCTCTTAACTGTAATTCCCTATAAGGTCAAAAAATCATACTCTAACATATAATGGCACAGGATATACATTACTGTTCCAAAATAGAGGAAAGGGAGGATAGTGAAGAAATACTGGGCCAAGCCAGGCGGTGGTGTGCAGGCCTTTAATCCCAGCATTCAGGAGGCAGAGTTCAAGGCCAGCTTGATCTACAGAACTAGTTACAGGACAGCTAGGGACTCTTAAACAGAGAAACCTTGTCTCAAAAAAAAAAAAAGGAAAAAGAAGAAAAAGAAAAGAAAGGAAGAAGGAAGGAAGGAATACTGGACCAAAGCAAGATCAAAAGCCAACTGGGCAAACTCCAAACTTGTATCTCCATGCCTGATGTCAAAATGCTTTTCAGATCTCCAACTCCTTTTTATCTTTGTTGACCACAGCACACTTCTTCCTCTTTGGCTTATTCCACTCCTTGTTAGCAGCTTTCCCTGGCAGGCCTCAACAACTCTGGCATCTCCAGTATCTTGGGGTCTCCAAAGCAATCCAGGCTTACACTTCACAGCTTCACGCAATAGCCTCTCTAGGCCTCCATTCAGGGATACCCCTGCCACAAGCCTGGCCTCAGCAACTTTTCTTAGTCATAGAGGAAATTCCACAACCCCCTTCTTCTATCCTTGGACTCTTAACGCTAGAGCCACGTGGCCTAAGCTGCCAAATTCTGCTGCTTGTTCAATTACATCTTCACCAGCTTTCTGTTTTCGATGATTTACTTCACTGCCTAAGCTTGGCTGTTCTGGAATTTGCTCTGTAGACCAGCTGGCCTCAAAATTCAGAGATCCACCAGCCTCTGCCTTCTGAGTGCTGAGTTTGAAGGTATGCACCACTATGCCTGGACCTAAACTGTTCTTCAGTTCCTTTTCCCAAATTGGAAGCTTAGCTGGATAGGGTCTTGCCCTGAGGTCACCACTCCCTTTATTCCATTTTTTAATCTGTTTATTTCCTTGGAAACATTGAGCTACATTTCACTTTCATCCTCAAGTTGTACATTTTGTATTTTTTCTTGCCTAGCTTGCTCCTTTTCAATATAAATCTTCACAAGAGTCAACACCAGTAACAACATGACAGAGTCTATACTAGTGTGTTTTGAGATTTCCCTTGCCAGTACAATTAATCCAAAATTCTTCACTTTTTGAAGGTAGACTTTTTGAAAAAGGGTAAAAAGCAGCAACATTCTTCACCAGAATATCACAAAGGACAATCTTAGGCAACATGCTAAGATTCTTCTTCTCTGAAATCTCTTGAACCAGGCCTCCACAGTTCAAATCACCTTGTGGTGGTTTGAAAGAAAATGGTTCCCACAGGGAAGGGGGACTATTAGGAGGTGTGGCTTTGTTGGAGTATGTGTGGCCTTGTTGGAGGAAGTTTGGGGAGAGCTTTGAGGTTTCCTTTGCTCAAACTGTGATCAGAGTGACATACAGTTACTTCTGCTACCATCGGATCAAGATGTAGAACTCTCAGCTCCTTCTCCAGCACCGTGTCTGCCTGCATGTTGCCATGTCCCACCATGGTGATAATGGACTAAATCTCTGAAACTGTAAGCCAGCCCCAGTTAAATGTTTTCATATATAAGATTTACTGTGGCCATAGTATCTCTTCACAGCAATAGAAACCCTAAGACATACCCTCAGCACCACTGTCTTCCATGTTCCTACTAGTATGGCCCATTAAGCCCCACTAAAAGCATTCATCTGCTTTTCTAATCCATACTCATGAAGTCCACAGTTCTGAACAAAGCCGTGGTCAGACCTATCACAACTATACCTCAGTTCCTTGTCTGTATATAAGAGAATGTGTGTACAAGCTTTGCCGTTATCTTTTTAATCATGTTTTATATTAAAATCGATGGTAAATTTTGAGATAATTTTTGTATAGGGCAAGGCTAACTTTTGACTTATGAATATTCATTAATTGAAGCGCCATTTGTTTAAAACACTATACTCTTTTTTTTTTTTTTTTTTTTTTTTTTTTTTTTTGGTTTTTTCCAGACAAAGTTTCTCTGTGGTTTTGGAGCCTGTCCTGGAACTAGCTCTTGTAGACCAGGCTGGTCTCGAACTCACAGAGATCCGCCTGCCTCTGCCTCCCGAGTGCTGGGATTACAGGCATGCGCCACCACCGCCCGGCAAAACACTATACTCTTAAGATGTAGAAAAATCTTGCTTTTGTCTACTAATCATGCTAAGTTTGTAAGTGAGTATTTGATGGGCTAGGATCAAACACAGGACTTCATACATAAAAAAGATTTCATTAAATCTTAGAGATGATTTATGGGAAGAGTTGGCATTTTTTTCTTCCTCTTTTTTTATTACTTTATAAATAATACCAATCAAAATTCCCACTTTCTCCCCTCCTCCCACTTCCCTCCCACTCCCCTACCCCACCCTTCCCCCAACTCCCCTCCAGTCCTAAGAGAGGGCAATCTGTTCCTTTGGTTACAGTAGGTATCTTAGCCTAGTTTTATGTTTGGGATCACAGTTTTCTTTTTATTAACTTAGTATCAAATTATAGCATTAGCTGTATTTACAACATTTGATTTCAGTATAAAGAATTGTTGGGGCTGGAGAGATGGCTCTGGTTAAGAGCACTGATTGCTCTTCCAGAGGACCTGGGTTCAATTCCCAGCACCCACATACATGGCAGCTCACAACTGTCTGAAGATCTAGTTCCAGGGTATCTGACACCTTCACACCAAAGCACATAAAATAAAGTTAAATAAACCATAAAAACTTTTTTTTAAAAAAATTGTTTAGAAGTTTGGGGTTTTTATGTTAAGAAAAAAAAAGAATTGATCAGCAAAAGGTGAGAGACCTTCTCTCAATTGGAACACTCTTTACTGTGTGGTAACTATGGATAGGCTGCTGGGTGGTGGTGGCACGCCTTTAATCCCAATACTTCAGAGGCAGAGGCAGGCCGATCTCTGTGGGTTCGAGGCCAGCCTGGTCTGCAAGAGCTAGTTCCAGGACAGAAACCAAAGCTACAGAGAAACCTTGTCTCGAAAAACCAAAAAAAAAAAAAAAAAAAGATGGATAGGCCTTTGCCTTCCATCCTTTGCAGTGTAACCTGTCTTCTACCCTTCCCAGATCCCCTTGCTGCTGCTAATTTGCTCTTTTTGATAGGTGTTAATTGAAATACATAAAAGAAAATTAAAATCCATGCAGCCCCACCACCAAATAATAAAGCTGTAATCATTCTTGAGCTTTAATGCATATTTTATACAGTTTTTTTCTTTCTCTTATGTTAAATGGTTTGCATTATTAGTAATTCCCTGCCTGCTTCTTCATTAATATTACCTGTAACACTTAAATATGTACAAGGATTTATCAGTTTTGTCATAGTCCTTGGATTTAACCAAACTAGACTCTTGAGAAGTGATTCGGGGGACATTTTATTTAAAAAAAAAATCTTAGAAATATTAATGGTTTTGAGAAATTTTTTAAAGATTAATAAAACAGAAACTCGGGTTATTAACAAACACTTGACTTATCTAAAGCTCTTTATCTAATTATTCAATTTTGACTTTTTCCTAGCCATTCCACCCTATGGTGAATCTGGACTGTTCTCGGGATTTCCGGCCATTTCTTTGTGCACTCTATGCCCCTATCTGTATGGAATATGGACACGTCACACTTCCCTGTCGTAGGCTGTGTCAGCGCGCCTATAGTGAGTGTTCAAAACTCATGGAGATGTTTGGTGTTCCTTGGCCTGAAGATATGGAATGCAGTAGGTATGGGTCATTTTTCATGCTGATGTGTGTTTTCTCTTTAATCTATTATAAAGAGTAGGGTTGTTGGCGTTTTTAAATGTATGGATGTCTATACAAATGTTGAGCACGGTTTCATTGTCTTATTTTTCATAAGAATTGGGAAGAAGTAAATGAAAATGATAGGAAAAAGGAATTTCTGTGAAGAAATGGAAAATAATTAAGAATTATATAAACAAGACATTTGGTTGATTTTCTTTTCTACCTTTAAAATACTTTTCTGTTTTTGTTTTTTTTTTTTTTAAAGATTTATTTTATTTTGTTTACAGTGTTCTGTCTGTATGTGTGCCTGCAGGTCAGAAGAGGGCACCAGATTTCATTACAGATGGTTGTGAGCCACCATGTAGTTGCTGGGAATTGAACTCAGGACCTCTGGAAGAATAATCAGTGCTCTTAACCTCTGAGCCATCTCTCCAGCCCTACTTTTCTGTTTTTTAGAAGTAATGACAGCCGGGCAATGGTGGCGCACGCCTTTAATCCCAGCACTCGGGAGGCAGAGGCAGGTGAATCTCTGAGTTTGAGACCAGCCTGGTCTACAGAGCTAGTTCCAGGACAGGCTCCAAAGCCACAGAGAAACCCTGTCTCGAAATACCAAAAAAAAAAAAAAAAAGAAGTAATGACATTCATGAAAAATTAGAAGCCAGACAGTGGTGGCGTACACCTTTAATTCCAGCACTTGGGAAACAGAGGCAGGTAGATCTTAAGGCCAGCCTGGTCTACAGAATGAGTTCCAGGACAGCCAGGACTATGGAGAGAAACCCTGTCTAAACCAAAACAAACAAGAAGAAAATATAGATTAGAAAAGAATTACTCATGACTACCATTATAACAGCTTAAATGCCTTTGATATAGATGTGCTGATGTCTACGGCTGTTGTGTCAATTTTGTTTCTTTGATTTTTTTTTTTTATCACACATTAACACCCAGTTGAGAAAATTTTGGGTGCTTTTCAAATCTTATCTAACACACAGACTGTGAGCTGTTACAGAAGATTTAAAGATTTGTTTAGCAGTCATTTCTATAGTGCTGTGGGAATGAGCACTATTAATAGTAATAGTATAGTATGTTATATAACATACCTTTTATTTTCTGAAATATTTCAGTAATGCAGAATAATAAGGGAATATTTATGTATTCATAATGATCTGCCTTTTTGCTGTCCCGGTATTTTGTAACATTTGTCTTCAGATCTTCTTTTATTATTTATTTTGAGTTTTTTGAGACAGGGTTTCTCTGTAGCTTTGGAGCCTATCCTAGAACTAGCTCTTGTAGACCAGGCTGGCCTCGAACTCACAATGATCTGCCTGTCTCTGCCTCCTGAGTGCTAGGATTAAAGTCGTGCGCCACCACCGCCCGGCATTCTTTTGTTTATTTATTTTTTTACATTTTTTTATTGATATTTATTGAGATCCCCTCCCTGGCTCTCCCCTATCCCCTAGAATCCTCCCCAAGGTCCCCATGCTCCCAATTTACTCAGGAGATCTTGTCTTTTTCTACTTTCTACTTCCCATGTAGATTAGATCTATGTTAGTCTCTCTTAGTGTCCTCATTGTTGTCTAAATTCTCTGGGATTGTGGTTTGTAGGCTGACTTTCTTTGCTTTATGTTTAAAAACCACCTGTGAGAGAGTACATGTGTTAATTGTCTTTCTGTGTCTGGGTTACCTCACTCAAAATAATGTTTTCTAGCTTCATCCATTTGCCTGCAAAATTCAAGCTGGTTATTTATTTATTTATTTATTTCTGCTGTGTGGTACTCCATTGTGTAAATGTACCACATTTTCCTTATCCATTCTTCGGTCGAGGGCATTTAGGTTGTTTCCAGGTTTTGGCTGTGACACACAAAGATGCTATGAACATAGTTGAGCACATGTCCTTGTGGCACGATTGAGCATCCTTTGGATATATACCCAAAAGTGGTATTACTGGGTCTTGAGGAAGGTTGTTTCCTAATTTTCTGAGAAATCTCCACACTGACATCCAAAGGGGCTGTACCAGCTTGTATTCCCACCAGAAGTGTTCCCTTTTTCCCACAACCTCTCCAGCATAAGTTGTCATCAGTGTTTTTGGTCTTGGCCATTCTTACAGGTGTAAGATGGAATCTCAGAGTTGTTTTGATTTGCATTTCTCTAATGACTAAGGATGTTGAACATTTATTAAGTGTCTTTCAGCAATTTTAGATTCCTCTGTTGAGAGTCCTCTGTTTAGGTCTGTACTCCATTTTTTTTTAATTGGGTTATGTGATCTTTTGGTGTCCAATTTCTTGAGTTCTTTGTATATTTTGGAGATCAGACCTCTGTCTGATATGGGGTTAGTGAAGATCTTTTCCCATTCTGTAGGCTGTCGTTTTGTCTTGTTGACTGTGCCCTTTGCTTTACAGAAGCTTTTCAGTTTCAGGAGGTCCCATTTATTAATTGTTTCTCTCAGTGTCTATGCTGCTGGGGCTATATTTAGGAAGTGGTCTCCTGTGCCAATGCATTCAAGTGTACTTCCCACTTTCTCTTCTATAAGGTTCAGTGTGGCTGGCTTTATGTTGAGGTCTTTGAGCCATTTGGACTTGAGTTTTGTGCATGGTGATAGATATGGGTCTATTTTCATTCTTCTACATGTTGATATCCAGTTATGCCAGCACCACTTGTTAAACATGCTTTCTTTTTTCCATTTGATGTTTTCTTTTTTTTGCTTCTTTATCAATGATCAAGTGTTCGAAGATGTGTGAATTGATATTCAGGTCTTCTATTCAGTTCCATTGGTCCTCCTGTCTGTTCTTATGCCAATACCAGGCTGTTTTCAGTACTGTAGCTCTGAAGTAGAGTTTGAAGTCAAGGACTATGATGCCTCCAGAAGTTCTTTTATTGTACAGGATTGTTTTGGTTATCCTGGGTTTTTTGCTTTTCCATATGAAGTTGAGTACTGTTCTTTTGACGTCTTTGAAGAATTTTTCTGGAATTTTGATGGGCATTGCATTGAATATGTAGATTGCTTTTGGTAAGATTGCCATTTTTACTATGTTAATTCTGTCTACCCAAGAGTATGGGAGATCTTTCCACTTTCTGGTGTCTTCTTCAATTTCTTTCTTCAAAGATTTAAAGTTCTTGTCATGCGGTCTTCCACTTGTTTGGTTAGAGTTACTCTGAGATATTTTATGCTATTTGTGGCTATTGTGAAGGGTGTTATTCTCTGGTTTCTTCCTCAGCCCTTTTATCATCTGTGTACAGAAGGGCTACTGATTTTTTTTTTTTGAGTTAATCTTGTCTCAGATCTTCTTTTAAGAAATAAAACACTGTAGATACAAGCTGAGCTTGGTGGCATATGCTTATAATCCCAGCATTTGGGAAGCTGAAGTAGGAGGATTGTGAGTTTGAGGCCAGCCTAGGCTACATATTGAGACCCAGTCTAGAGGGTAGGGTGGGATTGGGGGCTCTATAGTACAGCTGTGTATTTTGTTGGCCCTTGTCTTGCTCACATTCCTTTTTTTTCTCCCCAAGGTGAGGTAAATATCATGGTAAATTAATTATTAATTATGCACATGTTTGGTTTTATATATTACGCATACACATGCGTGCATATGTGTATTTGGTTCATTTTTTTAAATTACTGATTAGAAGTAATACCTGATGGTTAATTGTGTTAATATCTGAAAAGTACTTAGCTGTCTTCCTATTGATAATCATGTAGGTTACTCCATGGTTTTCATTAGACTATTCAGTTCTCCTTCAAAGTACTTTTGAGTGTAATCTGGCAGTATCTGATAGAGGAATATACCATGTCCTCGAATAACAGAAGGACTAGGAAGCGAAAGGGCAAACTCTCCCTGAAGTCAAATCCATGAGGGCCTTGCCTTCGTAACTGATACTACCGCAGTGAGGACTAAGTCCCAACACATGAGATTTGGGGGCATTCAGACCATAGGACTCACTTCTCAGTTTCATGGACATCCTTGGTTTCTTCCTCAGCCTCTTTATGTTTTTCATCATTTAGTATAAACTTTGTTACCTCTCACTTGGAATAATACTTTTGTTGATAATTTCACTTTATTTTTTTCTTTGTACTTAATCAGATCTCCAAATGGACTGCTGTAACCCATTTCTTTTTTTCTTTTTTTCTTTTTCTTTTTTTTTTTTATTTTTCGAGACAGGGTTTCTCCGTAGCTTTTGGTAACCCATTTCTTATAAACTAATTATGCTGTGTATTTAATTGTCAAACTATACTTATTCTTTTTGTTATTTGTAGCTACTTGTCCTGGTAAAGAAATTTTCTCTTGTTACCCTCAGCACCTTTGCTGATAGAAGTTTAGACCCATAAGAACAGGGACTTTGTTCTGTTTGCTGCTTGTCTTCAGCATCTAGAGGAGTCTGACACACTGAGGGCACTCAATATTTGTTGAATTTATGCCTGTTAAATAAATATATTCGTGTAACTCAGCCTGAGTAATCTAAGAAATCTAAGAGGTAGCAGAAAGTAATTCAAGCTGAGCAAAAATGCATGCAGGAAGATCAGTTGGAACATGGCTAATGCATTTAAAAAATAAGTTAAAAGCAGAGCCAGGTGAAGTAGTGATAATGGGATGAAGCTGAAGGTAGTTCAGCTGAGTTCATAATAATTGGATATAGGGACTGAGTTCATGAAAGCTGAACAAAGATAACTTTCAGAGGAGAAAATAAAAGAAATTGTAGACATGTTGAAATTGAGATATTTGAGACAAATTTAAGAGTTAAGATTCTGGTTCTGGCATTTACTTAAACCTATATTTATTTATTTACCTAATCATCAGCTTGCCCTCCTGTGTGTTTAGAACATCATTTCTGGGCTGTGGTGCTCTACTCTGTCAAACCAGTCAGTCTTGTTTCTTTGTTGGACCCTCTTCTCATGTGTCCCTTGTGTTACGGTTCTTCACAGAGTTCGTTCTTGCTTTCTTTGGTACTTTCTCTGGAGTCTCACAAAGCAAATCTCAGCAAAATAGGAAAATTGATATAATAGCTTGTATTCTATCTGATTACAATGATTAAAGCTAGAAATCAGCACCTAGAGAAACTATGAAATACACAGACCCATGCATATTAAACAATAACACACTCTAAAATGATGACTGGGTCGTTGAAGAAACTAAGAAGAATTTTTTGTTGTTGTTGTTGTTTTTTTTGTTTTGTTTTGTTTTTTTGTTTTTGAGACAGGATCTCTCTGTGTAACCCTGGCCGTCCTGGATCTCACAAAGACCCACCTGTCTCTGCCTCCAGAATGTTGGAATTAAAGGTGTGCATGACTGCCCAGCAAGAAGGAAAATTTTTTAATAGAGTTAAATGAAAATATAATACACAAGATATAATGAAAGGAGTCTTAAGAGGGACATTGATAGCTTTCTGAAATATGATTTGTGGTGACCCGTACATAGAATTTTCCTTTTAAAATGTTCTTAATTTTCTGCACATTTGTGTTTGAAAGTAAATGAATTACAGAATACAGTGGGCTGAAGAGAAGTTGTCAGGATAGTGGGAAAGCTCGGTGACATTAAAGCCCTGAGATGCTCTTTAGTTACCCATAACATAATCAGAGACTGGGCTAGGGGCATCCAGAGTGCTTGCTCAGAATTCATAAAAGCCCTGGGTTCTAATCCCAGCATTTTCTCCCCCGAAGATATTTAGAGAGTGCACACAAGATTTAAAAGTCATCTGTGAGGTTGTTTATTACTAATCTAGCTCACAACACCTTGGACCATGCATTTAAGGAAGATTTTTAAATCTTAAGTTCAAACTTTTATCTGCTGTTCTTTTGATACAAATAGTTACAAACAGACACACACATATTTCACATTTGGAAACCATAAAGACTGTACTAAATAAATATTCCATATATATGTTGTTTATCATTGATGGCTGATTTGACTTTTTTAATGGTAAAGCAAATTTAATTTAAGACTGTCACTTAAAATCTGCTTGAAGCCTCCCCACAATATGCCATTTTCTTTGTTGTTGTTGAATATGTTTTTAAATATATAATTTATTTTTATTTTATGTTCATTTGTGTTTTGCCTGTGTGTATGTCTGTTTGATGGTGTCAGAACTCTAGAACTAGAGTTACAGACAGTTGTGAGTTGCCATGTGGGTGCTGGAAATTGAACCCGGGTCCTCTGGAAGTGCAGCCGGTGCTCTATAAACTACTGAGCCATCTCTCCAGCCCCTCATTTTCTTTATTTTTATTTACCACAAGTGGTAGGAATAGTTGAGGTCACAGGTACTAAATTTATAATTTGAAATTGTTAAGTAACGTCTGGCAGACTTATATGAAAGTAAATGGTTATCATCTTTTATTTTTTAGGTTTCCGGATTGTGATGAGCCATATCCCCGACTTGTGGATTTGAATTTAGTTGGAGATCCAACTGAAGGTGCCCCAGTTGCAGTACAGAGGGATTATGGTTTTTGGTGTCCCCGAGAGTTGAAAATTGATCCTGATCTTGGCTATTCCTTTTTGCACGTGCGAGACTGTTCACCACCATGTCCCAATATGTACTTCAGGAGAGAAGAGCTGTCATTTGCTCGCTATTTCATAGGACTGATTTCAATCATTTGCCTCTCTGCCACCTTGTTTACTTTTTTAACCTTTTTGATTGATGTCACGAGATTCCGTTACCCTGAAAGACCTATCATATTTTATGCGGTCTGCTACATGATGGTGTCGTTAATTTTCTTCATTGGCTTTTTGCTTGAGGACCGAGTAGCCTGCAACGCATCTAGCCCTGCACAGTATAAGGCTTCCACCGTGACACAAGGATCTCACAATAAAGCCTGTACCATGCTTTTTATGGTACTCTATTTTTTCACTATGGCTGGCAGTGTATGGTGGGTAATTCTTACCATCACATGGTTTTTAGCAGCTGTGCCAAAGTGGGGTAGTGAAGCTATTGAGAAGAAAGCATTGCTATTTCATGCCAGTGCCTGGGGCATCCCTGGAACTCTAACTATCATCCTCTTAGCGATGAATAAAATTGAAGGTGACAATATTAGTGGCGTGTGTTTTGTCGGCCTCTACGATGTTGATGCGTTAAGATATTTTGTTCTCGCTCCCCTCTGCCTGTATGTGGTAGTTGGGGTTTCTCTCCTCTTAGCCGGCATTATATCCCTAAACAGAGTTCGGATTGAGATCCCATTAGAAAAGGAAAACCAAGATAAATTAGTGAAGTTCATGATCCGGATTGGTGTTTTCAGCATTCTTTACCTTGTACCACTCTTGGTTGTAATTGGATGTTACTTTTACGAGCAAGCTTACCGTGGCATCTGGGAAACAACGTGGATACAGGAACGCTGCAGAGAATATCATATTCCGTGTCCGTACCAGGTAAGGGAACCCTTGTTATAATTCTCAGAATGTGTGATAGTGAAAAGAGGATTGCTAAAAATAAGCAATCAGATCTGTTGTTTTCTTTCCAGTTCTCTTAAGCATGTACAGTAAAGTTTTAAAGTGAAGGCAGTAAGTATATTATAATAAATATATAACACATATATTTGCATAGACATTCATTTTAAAAGATGATTTACATTTCCATACTATGAGCTTAAAACAACTTATTTCCATAGAATGTTTATTGGTTCTTTGAAAGTCAAGGTTTATAGGGGAGAAAACTGTTTCAGCTCTGACAGAAGGGTCCTATTTTCTGTGGAAATTTCACTGGTCATCAGATTAGTAAGAATTTGAACAGTTTTGCAGAAAAAGCAGAATTCAGTTAATAAACTCCCTTGGGATTATTTTTTCTTGTTTGTATTCAGAATATTTTGTAATGTACTTTTGAATTTGAAGAGTCATAGAATCAGAATTTTTGATCTAGAAAGAAGTTTAAAGATGATTTATTTGGATTCTGTCCATGAATTAAATTTTCATATGTCTGTTTTGTTTGAATATTTGAAATACTTATTGACTTGCCCATTTTGGTGTGTGACCAGCTGGTATTTAGTCTTAGGAGAGTAACTGAGAACAGCTCAGAGGACCCCATCCTCTAGATGGTGCCCAATCTTCTTCCTTTTAAAAGGAGTTTTCTTTTTCTTTTCTAATTTTTTAAGGTTTATTTATTTAATTTTATGTGTATTTGCCAGAGTATATTTATGTACACCACTTGTTTGCCTGGTGCCAGTGGAGTTCAGAAAATGGTATTGGGTTCTCTGGAACTGGGTTTGTGGATGGTTGTGAGCAGTCATGTAGGTGAGCAGTGAGTGTTCTCACTCAGCCCCTCAAAAGGCATTTTCTGAAGTGTTCTGACGTTGTATCTGTCTTCTCCATGCACCCGTCACCTCACTGCTCCCCGACCTGTGGTCTCAGACCTCTAAACTATTGAAGCTCTCACATTTCAGACCAGAGGGCTTGGGTTCATGTAGCTTTCCTTCCCACTAGCCAGTGAACTCTTTGAGAGCAAGAGCTTTTCTTTTACTGAAATAGATTCTATTTCCATACCATATATCCTGGTTAAGGTTTCTCCTCCCTCTACTCTTCTCAGTTCCTCCCTTCTCTTTGGATCTACTCTCTTTCTGCCTCTCATTAGAAAAGAACAGGCTTTTAAGAGATAACACTCAAACATGACAGAATTATAATAAGATAAAGCAAAAACTATCAAATTGAAGATGGACATGGAAATCTAACAGGAAGAAAAGAATCCCAGGAGCAGGCACCAAGAATCAGAGACCCACTCGTTCTTACACTGAGAAGTCCCATAAAACACTAATAGTTAGTAGCTATACTATATATGCAGAGGACCTGGTGCAGACCCATGGAGACCCTGTGCTTGCTGCTTCAGTCTCTGTGTGCTCATAAGCACTTTGCTTACTTGCTCCAGAGGGCCTTGTTCTGGTGTCCTCCATTCTCTCTGTCTCTTACAATCTTTCTACCTCTTCCTTGTGATTCCCTGAGCTCTGGGAGACAGGAAATTTGATGGAGACTGCCAATTTAGACTTCCTCTCTTTCTACCTAATGTCTGGCTGTGTCTCTGCATCTGTTCCCATCTACTGCCTGTAGATATCTCTCTTATGATGACTTAATAAGGCACTGATCTATGAGTATAACAGAATATCATTAGGAATCGTTTTATTGATTCTTTTAGATCAGTAGTGTTTGGTTTCACCCTAGGTCTCTGGGCTATCTAGTGTCTGCTTCTTGGTTATTCACGCATTGTTGGGTATGTAATCCTTCTTGTGGAGTGGGCCTTAAGTCAAATCAGACATTGGTTGGCTACTCCCACACGTTTTGTTTTAGCATATTTTGCAGTCAGTATAGGTTGTAGATTTTGTGACTGGGTTGATGTCCATGTTTCTCTCTTCATTTTTTCTTACCACACTAAAGAGACTAGAACATAGGCTCCATGGAGGCATCAACTCAACCACTCCATGTTCAGTGATTTGTGTTGTTACTGTTTTTAATAGAATTGCTTTGAGTTTCTCTCGTTTAAGTTGATGTTGGCTACGGGCTTGCTGTAAATTGCCTTTATTAAGTTTAGGTATTCCCATTGTATTCCTAGTCCTATTCCAGGACTTTTATCATGAAAGCATGTTGGATTTTGTCAAAGGCCTTCTCTGCATCTAAATGCGATCTGTCAGGTCTCTTAAACACTGTTAAAGCACTTCCTTTGTTCATGTATCTTTTCTTCCTATTAGACAATGAACTGTTTAAGAGAACTTTTTTTAAAAAAAAATTTTGAAAGCATATTCTGTAAGTAAATGTAAGTAAGCACAGAAATAAAGAAGAAAGGGTGTCTTAGAGAAATAATAGCAGTGCTGGGGTGAGGATAAGATTAGCATACAGTGCTCAAGAGTACACAGTGACATTTGACAGTTTCCTGTTTTCTTGTGGTTTGATGTTTTAAAACTAACTATTGTCCATTCACCAGCCATAAAACAACATATAATTGAGTACTAGGTAATATAGGGAAGCAATTGATAAGAGTCAACCACGTCTTTTATTTACTTTTCGGTCTGAAAATTATATTAGGAGTTTTTAGTAAGCAAGTCTGATAAGAAATTCAATAGACGGTCGATTACTGTTTTTCCTCTAGCCTATAAATTATGGGTTTTAAAGATAGTAACTAATATTTCGTACAAAGATAAAAAGCATTGTTTGTACTGAATATACCACAAAGCAAATGAAGAACTGAAATTCTTGTCATCTGCTATGAGCACTGACTGTGTAAATATCATATTCATGTCCCCAACACTGCTGTTACATTTATTTAAAATGACCTCTCTTCTTCATCCATATACCCACATTCTTTGTAATTTCCCTTCCTGGTCTCTATAGGGTTTTTGTTGTTGTTGTTTGTTCTTACCCAAATCTGTGATTGTTGCATTGTAGGAAAAAGAATCTTCAACTCAAGTGGTTATTTTAATTTATATTCAAACATTTCTCCCCTTTATGTGTATTAGACACAAAGGGGTTTTTTGTTGTTGTTGTTGTTGTTTTTTGTTTTGTTTTTTGGCCAGCTTTTATAGTACTACCCCAATTCCTTAGTGTTTACGTTCCCTTATTAGTAATAAGGTGATGCTCCTTACTGACCTTGTGGCTTCTCCCCTGTGACTTTGTCACTGCTCTGATAGGTGGCTGTCGCTGATTTCCAGTTATTTGCATCCACAAATATCTTCTCTGGCTTATCTTTTATGATTTGGAGTATCTGTTTGTGGTTTTTTTGGTTTGGTTAGGATTTTAGGGTTTTTTAAAAAATATTTTTGTTCAGGTTGAATCTGGCCGTTTCCTTCCTTCCTTCCTTCCCTCCCTCCCTCCCTCCCTCCTTCCCTCCCTCCCTTTCTTTTTTTGACAGAGTTTCTTTGTGTATCACTGGTTGTCCTGGAACTTACTATGTAGACCAGGCTGGCCTTAAACTCACAGAGATCCACCTGCTTCTGCCTCCCAGGTGCTAGTATTAAAAGTGTGCTGTTGAATGGAGAGGAGCCCTTTGTTTGTCCCGGCCACCCGGCTAGCTTACACCTGAAATAACCACACAGAAACTGTATTAATTAAATTACTGCCTGGCCCATTAGCTGTAGCCTCTTATTGGCTAACTCTCATATCTTGATTTAACCCATTTCTATTAATCTGTGCATCACCACAAGGTCATGACTTACCGGGAAAGATTCAGCATGTCTGACCTGGCATCTCCATGGCTGTTCTCTCACTCTGCTTTCTTTCTCCCAGAATTCAGTTTTGTCTTCTCCGCCTACCTAAGTTCCACCCTATCAACTAGACCAAGGCAACGAAAGTTTTTGTTTGAGGGGTCTATTAGTCTTCACTGACTTTTCTGTAGCTCTTGACGAGCCTTTCTTCCAGTGTTGGGTAAGGCTGGTGGAGCACTGAACACTTTGCCAACTTGTGTTTTTAAAACTGCTATTTCCTATCTAAGGTTTTGACACCAGGTCCCAGCCTCAACCCTTCCTTAGCCAAATGGCTTTCAGATTCTCCACTATCCTCATCTACAGAGACCAGAATTACTGCAAGATTACTCTGGGTTTTCTGAAACTCAATGAGGACATTTTCCACATTCATATCTGCAAGGACAATGGCACGGGGTTTTGAACCTATGTAATGTGCTGGCTTTGTGGGAGCCTAGCCAGTTTGGGTGTTCACCTTCCTAGGAATGGACGGAGAGGGGAGGACCTAGGACTTACCACAGGGCAGGGAACCCTGACTGCTCTTTGGACTGGAGAGGGAGGGGGAGAGGAGTGGGGGGAGGGGGAAAAGGGTGGGAGGAGGGGGAGAAGGGTGGGAGGAGGGGGAGGGAAATGGGAGGCTGGGAGGAGGTGGAAACTTGTTTTTTTTTTCTCCTTTTCTCAATAAAAAAATGGAAAAAAAAGAACGCTTGCATGTATACATTTAAGTTTTTTCTCTGTTATTTAATTTTTCCCATAATTAATGTTAACCTTTATTTTTAAATAATAATGCGATCTAATGAATTCCTTTGTGATTTAGTGATTTTTAATCTCACTTGAGTAAATTGGATGTTGAATTGAACCTGGTGTAGTCAAAAGAATAAAGTACCGTAAGGAACTCACTAGTTATAGTGACTTGATAGTAGGTAAAAGCCTATGATACCATTTGATACACATAGTCACCTCATAAAGTATGTAGTGTGGCTTAATTCTAAAGCACATGAAGTTATGTGGCTTGCACAGTGACGTAGTTTGAATGGAATTGGCCCGCATAAGCTCACAGGGAGTAGCACTATTAGGAGATAAGGTTTTGTTGGAGTAGGTATGGCCTTGTTGGAGAAAGTGTGTCACTGTGGGGGCGGACTTTGAAGTCTCCTGTGCTTAGATACTGCCTAGTGTCTCAGTTCACCTTGTGTTGCCAGCACAAGGTAAAGAACT